AAGTAATCTCTATTTCAGCACTTAGTGACAAGAAGGAGAATATATAGCTTGAAATATACTGCCATTCAATTCTCTATATTTAAATATATGTATAGTAAAGAAGTGCTGTAGGTGGCCTGGTCACCAGCACTGCAAGGTGCAATTTTAAGATGCCTGATCTGCAGCCTAAAGAAGTTCTCTTCAGAGACCTCTGCCCAAATGTAGCTGAGACCCTCTGACTTGCATTGCATAAGACAGTTTCCAGATGAGTCTGAAGCCATGTTGGTTATTGTAGTCCATGGACATCATAGCTAGTTGCTTCCCTCTCTTGGAAGCTTGCATGGTGTCTTCTGGTGTCATGAAAGCTAGTCCTCGAGGAGGCTTTCAGGTCAGATCCAGTTTGGGCCCTCTTGCTCATGTGTCTAAAATATGGATGTCTTCAGCATAAAGACTTACCTTCCAGCTCTGGGAGGCAACTACAGACAGCAGCAATAGCCTATAATTTTGGGGGCTCTCTTAGACAATGTTGACCAACAACTCAAAAGGGGACTTCTCACACCTACTGTTGGAGTTTTTTGTTAGATGGTCTCTGGGTCTTGGGGGAAGCATTGTCGGCCCAGGTAGATAAATTTTATTTAAAACTACATATATATACCCAGACTTCTATACATTATGTAATTTTAGGTCAATAGGTAATATGATTCCTTATGACTTTTTCAGATATCCATGTTATTTTACCGTCCTTCCTCATATTGACCTCCCTCCCCACTTCTAATTAGAGTCCCCACCACCACACTTTTTCACATTTAGGTCTTTGATCTATTTTAATTTAGTTGTGCAAGGTGTACAGGATTAATTTCATTCTTCAAGTGAACATCTAGTTTTCACAGCATCCTTTGTTGAAGATGCTGTCTTTTCTCCAGTGTATATTTTTGACAACTTTGTCAAATATTAGAAGTCTACAGTTATGAGTCCATATTTAGGTCTGTTTTCATCCTTGTACCTTTTTAATAAGTTATTATTTTTATTTTATTACTATGTCTCTGTAATATATCTCCAGTTCTTAAATGGTAAGCTCTTCAACCTTGTTCTTTTTGCTCAGAATTGTTTGCGTTGTCCAGGGACTTAATCAGTCCATCAGACTATTCACACACACACACACACACACACACACACACACACACAAAGAAAAAAGATAGAAAGACAGGTTAGACTCTGGGCATTAACTATAAGAGCTAGTTAGTAAGGATTATTCCACAGCAATTAACAAAGACTTTGGAGTTTTGTAATAGTAACTGTATGGGTGATTGATGTAGCTTTTAAAATTTTATTACTCAGAAGACATAATTAATAATTAGATTTAAAGATTAAGTAATCGAAGCTTAAAATTAAAAATAAGCTAGTTTGCTCATTGCTTTTAAAGAAATTCCTTTTGTAAATAAAATTGTGTAGTAGTTGATGAAGTACAGTTTTCACTCTTATTGATGAGAATTGAGTTACTGATAAGTTTAAAATCAAAGGTTATAAGTGTGTGTGTGTGTGTGTGTGTGTGTGTGTGTGTGTGTCTGTGTGTGTCTTGACCTTAAGGATTAGCCATTAGCTATTTCAATGCTCTCATTTAAGGTAGGGCTCAACAATCAAAGTATGGTTCTTTGAAGGGAGTCTTGAAATGTTTTGGTTAGTTGTAAAAGCTCCTGACTTTTGACCAATGAGAGATGTAAGTCAGATCATAGGAGCTGGGGATTCCTTTGCTTTTTCATGTCTCTGTAATTTTCCTTTCAGTGCCTTTCTGTCTTTCCTCTCTGGTTTGTTTTGGTTTTTCAAGATAGGTCACTCTGTAGCTTTGGAGCCTGTCCTGGCACTTGCTCTATAGACCAGACTGCCCTCCAACTCACTGAGATCCACCTGCCTCTGCCTCCCAAGTGCTGAGATTAAAGACATGCACCACCATGGCCCGGCCTGTGCCACTGTTTTATGTTGTACCCTGGAAAGTAAGTCAGAGAGACATACAAAAACCTAAGCCATTTATGCTGAAGAAATACTGGAGGAGCACATCTTTTTGGCTGTCTTTGAAATAATTAGCAAAGGAAAGAGTCCATTGATAAATTAGTTATGTCAAAAGATAAAATTACAACAAATTTTAAAGTATCGCTCTTCTTTTATTTACAATTCTAGAATTGGGCAATACCTTATTCTATAAAGTATAATAGTTTCATTGCACATTGGCAAAGCAGGGATCTTTGAAGGTAAGATGCCTGGTTAGCATCAGTTTACTTTTTTTTAGAATTAAATTAGGAGGGACTTCCTTGTTGACCCAGATAGATTAGCAGTTCCTGTTTTCCTGGAGGTCTTTTGGAGGATCTGTTCAGTCCCTTAAAACTGGTTTGATTTATAGCATCTAGCACATAATCACGATGTAGTCACTAGTTTGGTCTAGTCTGTTGAAGAGTATTGCAGACTTCAGAATGAGATACTGCACTCTCCTAAGTTGTATTTACATTTAAAGTACTAGAAGTACCTTTGGTGGCAGACACCTGTAATCTCAGTCCATGAAAAGCCAAAGCAAAAGTATTGCATGCACCGGGCCAACCTGGTCAGCGAGAGCACAGGAAAACTTAACGGAGAAATACTGATCTCTGTTGACATTTTTGCCCAGTTCTTTTTAGTTTACCTTTTCTTCTTGATTGTCTTTCCTACATAATATATTTAGAATGAAGCAGTGGTGGCACACTCTTTTAATCCCAGCACTCAGGAGGCAGAGGAAGGCAGATAGATCTCTAAGTTCCAGAATGGCCTAGACTCATAGAGAGTTCCAGGACACCCAGGGTAACATCGAGAGGTTTTGTCTCAAAAAAAAAAAAAAAAAAAAACTGGCAGGAGAAAGTGCGAACACCTTTAGTCCCAGCACTCGGGATCTCTGTGAGGTCAAGGCCAGCATGGTCTACAGAGTGAGTGCCAGGACAGGCTTCAAAGCAATACAGAGAAACCCTGTCTCAAAAACCAAAAAAAAAAAAAAAAAAAAAAAAAAAACAACCTTTAGTTTATTAGAAGAATTTATCATAAAAAATTGTAGTAGTAAATTTTTCATCATAAATGTTGAGGCTTTTTCAAAAGAAGTGAAATACAGAAAAGAAAATCCACTGCAGCATTTCAATTAGGAAAATCGATGTTGATGCTATTTAGTTTTCCTTTAATGTCTATTATTCCTTACTTAGCTGTGATGTTCTAGATGTAGAAGTAAGATTTTAACATAAAACCCAGGCCTTGTTCTCCTAGAAACCAGTGATGTATACATAGATAAGCTTGGGATGAATAACAGAAGGAAAAGAATGGGAAAGATCTATTTTGAAATTTGGGCTCATATCTTTAAATCTCACCATTTGAACTTTGGGGGAGGAAAGGAGAAATAGTAGAATAATGTAATACTAAATATCATGTCAGTGTTACTCCTCTAACACATGTGAGTAAGCTGGAGTAGACAACTTGGAATATGATTGTAGTATTTTTGTGAAAACTAAGAAGAGGTTAGTAAAGATCAAAGGATAAGGATTTCTATTTGCAGTTGCTAGTCCTGGAAATGCTCTCCCACCTTTTAAAAATTTTTGGCAAACTAAGTAGGGGATAAGATAGCAAGCAGTAAAGGTGTTAAGCACCGGGAATTACAGCCTGTCCTCTATAACTATAAAACCTTCCCTATTCCCTAATGTGGTCACAATCTCTGCGACTACATGAGCCCAGCCCTACACTTGCCCTAACATAGGCAGCTCTGTACGTTTTATTTGAAATGTTGACTCTGATATTTCCAATGTAAATTATACTCAATGTCCCCTTTGTCACACTCAGAATGTAGGACTCCCCAGTTCCCTGTGTGCATATCCCTATGCCATTGTTTGCTGTGTGATGTCCCTAGCTACTTGGCTTCCCCACCTACCGTGTGAAATTCTGCATTTTCTGCCAGAAGGGAATTTCTTCATTTCTCATCTCTCGGAGCTCTGTTTCTTAGCACATCTTTCACCCTCAGAAAGAAGGAGCTGTCTCGCTTTTGTCATCCATGGGCCAATTTCAAACTCAATGTTGTAACCTTTCCTGTCCTGTTTCTTTTAGGAGTTTCACTTGCTGTTATCCCGTTTCTGTTGTCTCCCATTCTCCAGGCTGACTGCTTCAGCACTAACCTCAATATCACACTCCCAAAGACAACAAGAAAGTTTTCTTCTCGGTTGTAGCTTTTGTTGTACCTTCCTTTCCAGCTTACAACTGTGCTTCTGTAAAGAGAACAAATCTGTGAAGTTGCTTCCTACTGCGTAGTCTCCTGTCCTCACTGGACTCAGCCGCTGTCTGTCACTCTACTGCACTTGATTCGCTAGTTACTTCTGTTTTCCAGGCCACTGCAGTGGTCATTCCCATCATTATTTGATTGTAGATGACATTGTCAACCATTATTTCCCTGAAATCCTCTTCCCTGTGGTTCCTTGTGAGGGCAGGGTTAGAATGGAGACCAGACATGCACAGTTCTGAGGGAGCTGACTTTTCTTAAGGTTGGCTATAGTTGCTCCCTTTTTGTCCTTATCTGGACCTACTTGATTAATATATTGTATAATTAATTTTTAATAATATAGTGTATAGTTCATACATTGTATAATAAATAATTGGACATAATATATTATACCTCAAAATTAATTGTTGTTTGTGATCATTATACTGCTTGCTTATTTTTTTTTGGAAAAATTGGGATTTCTCTAGATTATAAAAAATATCTGAGTAGATAATGAAAGTTTTAAATCATAAGCAAGGTCTTAACTCTGAGTCACTATTGGATGGCCATGTGATTTTTGAGTGTTTTTTTTTCCTATTTTCTACCTTTTCTAATTTTTCTTGATGTTTTACTGAGAAAAACTGAACTCAAAAGATGTCTTTAAATTTAAAAGACTCATAATATTTCAATAAGCAGAGATTTACTATTGTTGCCTTTATAAAACATATTGACTCCATTTAATTGTAATGACACTTCACCTTTTTGATAGGTTTCCCAAAGGAGAAGGAAGATGGAAGAGTCTGCAAACCAGTTGCAGCCACTGAGTGAGAGCCAAGTAGCCAACTCTGAGGGCGGATACGTATGGCAGGTCACAGACATGAACCGACTGCACCGCTTCTTGTGTTTTGGTTCTGAAGGTGGCACCTACTATATCAAAGAACAGAAGCTAGGTCTTGAAAATGCTGAAGCCTTAATTAGATTGATTGAAGACGGCAGAGGATGTGAAGTGATACAGGAAATCAAGTCATTTAGTCAGGAAGGCAGAACTGCCAAACAAGAGCCATTGCTGTTTGCCCTTGCCATTTGTTCCCAGTGTTCAGACATAAAGACAAAACAAGCAGCATTTAAAGCTGTTCCTGAAGTTTGCCGCATCCCAACCCATCTCTTCACTTTTATCCAGTTTAAGAAAGATCTGAAGCAAAGCATGAAATGTGGTATGTGGGGCCGTGCCCTCCGGAAGGCTGTTGCAGACTGGTATAATGAAAAAGGTGGCATGGCCATTGCCCTGGCAGTAACAAAGTATAAGCAAAGAAATGGCTGGTCTCACAAAGATCTCTTAAGACTGTCACATCTTAAACCTTCCAGTGAAGGTAAGCATAAGATTTTCCTAATGGGTAGTAAGGCATAGGTGATGGATAAATAGCAAAATTTCATTTCATTTTCTAGAATTAGCTTTCACTCACAAAACATAATGCTGTTTAATTAATCCAGACATTTAAAACCAGCTTGAAAGTAAAGACCTACCATCGGTAATCCAGACATTGATAATCAAAGTTTGGACATGCTGGTTTTATACTTTGAGTTATTAATATTTAGGGTTTAATTTCCCTTTTAAGAAAGATTAGTAATTACTGTATTGCGACTAACTTTTCAAATCCCTTTCCACAGACACTTTCATACATTAATGTCCCCAGTGTCTAGTTCAGCATAGCCTTCACGATCCATGACAGACAGATTTTAACAGGAGAGGGGAAGAGTAACGGTCTAGAGCAGTGCAGTTTTGCTATCCGCCACCTGCTGTCCCAAAGATCTATGCTTACTAAGCCTGAGATCTGCCTGCCATTGCCTCCCGAGTGCTGGGATTAAAGAGGTGGGCCACCGATGCCTTATTTAGAAGAGATTTTTATGTGAAGCATTAAGCTTTGTCTTAAATCTGTAAAACAATAAATTATGACGGGTGGTGGCACATGCCTTTAATCCTAGCACTCGGGAGAGGCAGTCAGATCTCAGTGAATTTAGTCCACCTGGCCTATAAAGTGAGTTCTAGGACAGCCAGGACTGTTTGTTAGACAGAAAAACCCTGTCTCAAAAAAACCAAAATAAAATAACAAGTTACAATACTGTAGAAATTCTTAGATATATAAGTATTAACTTTTAATTGAATTACCTAATTGGTAATTCAAAAATAGCACATAGGCTGGCTCAGTTTTACTTAGAGATATGTTTCATTTAGCCTATAAAAATATTTTAAGAAAAACTTAAGTATTGTCAGTATATTGAAAGGTCATAAGACTTCATATAAAAATCTGCATTCTGACATGCCTTCAGATCAGCTGGCTTTGGTGCTAGAGTTGAACCTAAGGCCTCGTACATGGTAGGCAAGTCCTCTCTGTAAAGCACTAAGCTACATCCCCATCCTTTTATTCTTATTATTCATTCATCCATTTTACGCTTCCAAGCATTACACAGACCTAAGCTATTCATATATGAGGTAAATTCCCTACTACTGAGCTATATCTCCCATCCTCTGAACTTTCTTTTGAAGCTAGGCCTCACTAAATTGCCCAGGCTGGCCTTGAACTCAAGATCCTCCTGCCTCAACCTCTAAGGAGCTGGAATTAGAGGCCTGGCTCAAGACTTCTTGAAAGCCCTTTTGTGTTGCTGTTTTTGTATTTGGCAGCACTAAATCAGTGTGTGTCAGTTGATGCTCTCTGGCCGCCACAGTCCTAATGGTTTTTAGATCCCCATGGCCTGTTTCTGTATTTTACCTGAATTTGTCAAACTCTACCCTGGCATAATTTAACTAAGAGGTTAAGAGGTAGAAAGATTACAGTTTATCCAAAGTATACATTAAGGAATGGAAAAAGAAACTTATTGTTGGAGTGGTTTAGACCAAGAGTGAGCCCAAATTTGAATTCTCCACTTCTCTCCCTGTCTTCCTTCAGTCTAGTTTCTGGTCTGTGGCCTGTTTTCTGTCTGTAGGTTATCTCAAATCTGTTCCTATTAGCTGTCCTGACAAAGGACTTTGCTCTTTATTTGTTGAATAGCACAGAAAGCATGGTCTGGGAAAGGCATGAGGGATACTTTTCTATAAAAACCTTTAACAGGGTTTACAAGGGAAGAAGTTACTTTGCTGAACCACACTGACCAAAATAGCTCTTAAAACCAGCACAGATGTTACCAACCTATGTCCATGTGTTGCTTCCAACAGTTATGAGATACTTTCTGTTTTAAGTTGCCTTAAACGTATGTAATTACCACAACACACACACACACACACACACATAAATACATTGGTCTTGGTCAGGAACATGGAAAAGTACATACTTTAAGATTTGCTTATGTTATAAAAGCTGATTACTTAGGAAATCCAAGGCATAGTAAAGTTGGTAGGATAGCAGGTTGAGTACATAGTTTTAAATGATCTCAAGGTGTATTAAATCGGTTTCAAGGTCTGACAAAAGTTCCGCCTCTTCAAATGCAAGAGGTGTTTTCAGCAAAAGATGTTACCAGAAACAAACTATAGGCTACAACTCAGATTTTCTCACTTCAAACCTCTTTTTACTATTAAAAAAAATGGTAAAAGGAATGCACAAGTTATTTTCCTTTTTTAAAATATTGGATTGGACCAGGCAGTGATGATGCCTGCCTTTAATCCCAGCACTTGGGAGGCAGAGGCAGGCAAATCTCTGAGTTTGAGGCCAGCTTGGTCTACACAATGAGTTCCAGGACAGCCAGGACTGTTTCACAGAGAAACCCTGTCTCAAAAAACCAAAAATGTGTGTGTGTGTATCTATGTACATATGTATATATTGGATTGGGCTTATAATAATTTCTGGTGTTAAACAGTTTAATACCTGTTTCCACTTAATCAATACTGTTCATAAATCCATATTTAGCCAGAAGCAAAGGAAAATCAGTATGATAACCATTGGAATAGATCTGTTCTCTAATTGAGGTTATGGATGTGAAATAGACACTGTCTGCAAAGTTTATAATTTCAGTATGTCAGAAGAGCCTCTGTAGTACAATTGGCTTAAACTATAGACGGATTCCCCCTACCACCACATATTTAGACAGTAATGGTGTGTTTAAAAAAAAAAAAAAAAAGACTCATTTCATTTGCTCATGTGGCAGAATATAACATCCCACTTTAAGGTAGTCAGCTGCTGTCTTTTTAGTTAAGCTGATCATGTTCATTCTATTTTCACTAATCCTACTTGCCTTTTCAATTCTTTATCTTATTAAAGGCCTTGCTGTTGTAACCAAATATATTACAAAGGGCTGGAAGGAAGTCCATGAACTGTATAGAGAAAAAGCACTTTCTGTGGAGACTGAAAAACTATTGAAGTATCTGGAGGCTGTGGAGAAAGTGAAGCGAACAAAAGATGAGCTGGAAGTCATTCATCTAATTGAAGAACACCAGTTAGTTAGGGAACATCTGCTCACAAATCACTTGAAGTCTAAAGAGGTAAGTTCCTTTGAAAAGAGAAACCTCAGGTTTCAGACCCAGGGTTCAATCCCCAGCCCCTCCAAAACAAGAGAAGGGGCTAGGGAGATGACTCAGTATTTACAGCATTTAATGAACAGGCAAGAGGACCAGCTAGTGTTCATGTGGCAGGTGGAAACAGAGATGGAAAACCAAAGCAAGGTAACTAGCAAGACTAGCCAAATCTCACTTCCAGGAGCATCGACTTGGACTGAGAGACCCTGACTCAAAAATAACAGTGAGATGCTAGTAAGGAAGATTCCCAGCATCAACATCAGGCCCTTTCTCTCTCTCTCTCTCTCTCTCTCTCTCTCTCTCTCTCTCACACACACACACACACACACACACACACACACACACACCAGAGAGAGAGAATCCAAACATATCTTTAAAGTGATGCTTATTAAAAATATTCAACATAACCAGGCAGTCTTTAATCCCAGCACTTCAGAGGCAGATCTCTGAGTTTGAGGCCAGCCTGGTCTACAAGCAAATTCCAGAGCTGTTACACAGAGAAACTCTGTCTCAAAAAAATAAATAAAATAAAGAAGATTCAATGTTAACGTGATACCTGTATTTTCTCTACAAAACCTTCAGTTTCTTTTTGATAAGTCTCTGATCAATTGATTTGCATTCTGGAAGTACTTTAAACCCTAAGTAAATACTTTACAGAATATACTGTTAATGTGGTTGATTTAGCTATGTTACATTGACTCATTTCCCCTTCATTCTTTACATTTCTAGCTATGCTATTCACCTTTTTTTGTTCCTTTCTCTCCTTGTAGGTATGGAAGGCTTTGTTACAAGAAATGCCCCTTACTGCACTACTGAGGAATCTGGGAAAGATGACTGCTAATTCAGTGCTTGAACCAGGAAATTCTGAAGTATCTTTAGTATGTGAAAAACTATGCAATGAAAAATTGCTCAAAAAGGTATGTGAGGCCCATGATTTGGTTAGCTGAAGAAATTGGCTCTCAAGTGATCTAAGACCGCGCTCATGACAAGTTGCGTTTAATTCTTAAATCTAAGTTTAATATTTGTTCTTCCTTTAGGAAGTGTCTTTATTACTTATAGTAATATAAAACTCTGAAGACTCATAATTGTTATTTTTACTTAAAGTTGGCCACTACCTTCTGTCTGTCTTATTTCTAGGCTCGTATACATCCATTTCATGTTCTAATTGCATTAGAAACCTACAGAACAGGCCATGGACTCAGAGGTAAACTGAAGTGGACTCCCGATAAAGAAATTTTGCAAGCATTGGACACTGCTTTTTATAAAACATTTAAGGTAATAGTTTTATTTTATTTATTTAAAAAAGACTTAGGGATTAATATATTTTATAAAAACACATTTTAATGGTAATAATAATAGTTTTTCCAGTGTAAAGTATATATGCATGGATTCTTCATAATTGGTATGCAGATGGCTGCAAAACTGATATTGTAAATTTATAAGTAATTCTTACTACTCTGAGTAGCAGCTACTTATCCCAAGATCATTTTAATAGATTTTAAGGTCATATTGATAAACTACTGAATTTGAGAATTTGCATTTCTGTGGGTTCCTTCAACTTAGTAGTCCTTTTTAATTCCATTGCTAATTGAGAGCTGAGTCTCAGTCTCAATAATCAGGTTTTCAAAATGGAAATCAGAGCTATAAGTTAAAAATTTTTTATTACAAAGATTTCTGGATACACCACAAAACCTAACATCCAAATTGAGTAGCAAACTAAAAGCATTATGCATAATCAATAGGGGACATTTATGTGACACACACACACATAATAGTGTCAGTTGATGTGTAAATAGCATTTGACAAAATGTAATAATAAAAACCAAAATAAAAATCAAGAAATTACTTAATAAATAGAAGTTGATTTCTCACCATAATTAAGCTTATATTAAAAAAAAATTCATAGGTATCATCATACTCAGATAAAACGGCAAAAGCCTTTTCCTTAAGACCAAGAATAAGGGTGGCTACTTTTCCTACTTCAATGCCATGTAGTACAGAGAATTGTGGTAATTTTATAAGAAAAAAAGCCTAATATAGCATGCTCATTATTCTATGTAGAAAACCCTAAGGGATTCACACATAAGCCGTGTTAGAGTTAGAAGAATTCAGCAGACTTGCAGGTTATAAAGCAATGCATTAAACACACACCACACCACACCACACACACACACACACACACACACACACACTAGTTGGACCAGGTTTGGTGGTACAGATCTGTAATCCTAACTCTTGAGTAGTAGAAGTAACAGTCAAGTCAGAGCCACATTCCCCAACACCATAAGTTCAAGGCCATCGTGGGCTACATGAGACCCTGTCTCGAAAAACTAGGGGAAAAAGTATGTAAATAATAAATCAGTTCTGTACAATAGTGATAAACAAATTTGAAAAGGAAATTAAGAAGATACTAGTATTTAAAATAACAGTAGAAGAAAGACTAAGACAATGTGAAGAGAATAGGGCAATCCAAAGCGATATATATATATATATATATATTGAAGTCCCAAATGGCATGTTTTGCAGAAAATTAAAAATCCATATAATAAAATCCCAAGTGACTCCAAATAACCAAAACAATCTTGAAAAGCAAATTTGCAAAACTAACACATCTGGATTTCAAAACTCAACTACAATGCAGCAGTAACCAGAGCACTATGCTACTATTACAAGGACAGACAGAATGACCAAAGGAATAAAACAAGAGTCTGTAAACAAACTGACCCATTTGGATGATTGATGTTAATTCTCAAAGGACAATTTTCAAAAATTGTCCTGTTAAAAACTGCACATTTACATACAGAAGGAGCAAAACGGATCATTTTCTTACAGCATATAAAAAAATATTTCAGAAGAGACCAATGGCTTAACTTTAGGAGCTAGAAAAAAAAGAAAAATAAAATACAGGTGATAACAACTAAATAAATTGAACTTCAAAATTTGAAACTTGTAACTAGGCAGTGGTAGCACACCTCTTTAATCCCTAGCACTTCAGAGGCAGAGGCAGGCAAATCTTTGAGTTTTGAGGCCAGCCTGGCTGCAAAGTGAGTTCCAGTATGGCCAGAGTTACACAGAAAAACCCTGTATCAAAAAAAGAATGGAAGGAAGGAAGGAAGGAAGGAGGGAAGGAAGGAAGGAAGGAAGGAAGGAAGGAAGGAAGGAAAAGAAACAAAACTTGTGTGCATCATAGAGTGTTTTGAAGAAAGTAGGAAAAGATGGGATGGAAAAGCTGCATGATGGGAGAAAATATTTGCAGATTATATATCTGAAAAGGGTTTAATATCCACAAACTGCTGCTCAGTAGTGTAATTACAAGTCAGTTTAATAATGGGCCTAGGCCCTGCCCCAAATGACTTGACAAACTTTGGTGATTGCCCATGGAAGGCCTCACCCTCCCTGGGGATCAGAGTGGGGATGGGAGGCTGGGAGGGAGAGGAAAATGGGATTGGTATGTAAAATAAGAAAGTTTCTAATTTAAATAAAAATTTATAATTTTAAAAAAGGAATATGATTTCTTTTTTTTCTTTTTCTTAATCGTTTTACAATTCCTGACTTTTTCATGACTATTTTGTTTTCTTTTTAGACGGTTGAGCCGACTGGGAAGCGTTTCTTGCTAGCTGTTGATGTCAGTGCTTCCATGAACCAGAGGGTTTTGGGTAATATACTCAATGCTAGTACTGTTGCTGCCGCAATGTGCATGGTGAGATCCCCTACAACAATCCCACACCCCTAAAATGTAGTTAAAGTAAAACTGTAGAGGTAAACAGCATCAAGAATTAGTTTTTCAGGGCAAGAGAGTTGGCTCAACAGTTAAGAGCACTGCCTACTCTTCCAGAGGATCCAGGTTCAATTCCCAGCAAGCACATAGCAGCTTCCAACGCCTATAACTACAGTTCCAAGGGATCCAGCACCCTCAGAACAGACATACATTAAAACAAAATACCAGTACACATAAAACAAAAACAAAATAAAATATTAATTTTTTTACTTATGTTTTTTTGGTTTCTGTTTTTCAAGGCAGGGTTTCTCTGTGTAGCTTTGGGGCCTGTCCTGGAACTTGCTTTGTAGACCAACCAGGCTAGCCTCAAACTCAGAGATCTGCCTGCCTCTGCCTCCCAAGTGCCACCACCACCTAGCATCACTTATTTTTTCATTTCACTTAATTACATTGACCATTTTATATCTAAAGACAAGTTTATAAGGCAAAGTTTTAACTATACAGAAAATGTGCGTGTAAAGAACAATCAGAATTGTGTTGCCAAATTTTATAGCAAGATTGAATGTTATGAGTATTTGTAAAAGTAGGTAATAATATGCTTAGCAGGGTGGGGGGTCATGTTTAAAAGCTCAAGAAACTAGTGATAGGCATTGGGGAGGTTCAGGTCTCGACCATGCTTCTATTACTACATAGCAAGAAAGCCTTCTTCACTTCTGTGCCTTTATTCCTAGTTTAGTAAAATTGGAAGTGTGTGTGTGTGTGTGTGTGTGTGTGTGTGTGTGTGGTTGGTGGTGGGCGGGTGTGAGGATGCTGTAAATACTAGTTTCTCAGAGATTTTTTGAGTTCATCCTTTTCATTTGTTTTCATTTATGGATTGCATTGGGGGAGGGGGACCCCCAGAGGATAACTTAAGCAGTCATTCTGTACTTCCACCGTGGGAATTCCAGGGATTGAATTCAGATTGTCGGGTGGCTAGCACCTTTGCCCACTGAGCTATCTCACCAGCCATGAAAAGTGCTGTGACTCTGTATTCTGAACACAAAAATGCAAGTTTATGAACAATAAGCACCATAGTGTTTCTTTCAGAGATGAAGTTCTATAAGCCTTTAAGAGACTATAATTATTTCAGTGTGTTGAAAACTGTTCCCACTGCATTTTACAGGTGGTCACACGAACAGAAAAAGAGTCTTCAATAGTTGCTTTTGCATGTGATATGGTTCCGTTTCCTGTGACTACAGACATGACCTTACAGCAGGTTTTAACAGCTATGAATAAAGTAAGACACTGTTTTGTTAACACATCCTGTAATTTTTTACTTGGGGCATGCATATGTATAACATCTATAAGAAGAAATTGTTCATCTCATAGCAAGCATAATCAGAAATATACATATGTACAGGCACGATGAAGCCTCAATACTGGTTTTACATAAAGTGGTGCTCTAAAAATTAGAGCTTTTATGTATTCATTTATAGACATCTAATGGACACTGAGGTGACTTTATTTTACTGCTCTTCCTTTCTTCCTTCCTTCCTTTCTTTCTTTCTTCCTTTCTTTCTCTCTTTTTTTCCTGAATCTCAAGGTTCCAGCCGGTAGCACTGATTGCTCTCTTCCAATGATCTGGGCCCAGAAGACGAACACAGCTGCTGATGTCTTCATTGTATTCACTGATAACGAGACCTATGCTGGACAGGTGCATCCTGCTGTTGCTCTGAGGGAGTACCGAAAGGTAAAACACAAACCTGTTTCACACCAAACAATACTCCATTCCCTTTGAGTAAGTTTTCTTCATTTGTGTAGGAAGCTCAGTGTCAGGTTGACTCAGCAGCACTTGGGAACAAAGGTAGGGCCTCCACACACATCTCCCAGTTCCAGTACTAAATATTAACAAGAATGCCCTTTGCCAGTAGCTTTTGATATGACCTCAGATATTTTTAATGATACATTACATTCCTTGGAAACTTATCACTTGTGAGTTTAACTAAAGAACTACATAAAGTTACAGCACATTTTTCAGTCTGTATTCTAGACTTTATGGGTATATCTGTTTTGATCATTCTCCTTGACAGAAATGTTCTGTTACTGTTCTGTCCATTACAGTAGACACTGATTATTAGGCTGTTGAGTTCAGTGAACATGTGGCTCACATGACTAGGAGGAGAAACAGAACTTGCTATGAAGAACAGTGGACTTCACAACATAATTTTCCTACCAGCTGTAGCATCATTCGGTGTTCACATCAGATATGTAAATCAACACAGACCCCGTCAGATGTCTGCTGAGTCAAACACTGGGGGCAGGGTTCAGGTTTCTCATGAATGCTTTATTTTTGAGTGCCAAAAAAGGAGGAAATAGTATTTGGACTAAAAGCAGTCTGGATATGTTGTTGGTTGTTTTACTCTTTGGGGGGCCTGCCACCTAGCTCCTCAATAATTACACAGAGGCTTATTCTTTTTTATGAATACCTGGCCTTATCTTGGCTTATTTGTAGCCAGCTTTTAAGTTAACCCATCTACCTTTTGCCCCTGGGCTTTTATCTTTCTATATACTATGTATCTTTCTTTACCTCTTACTCCATTGCTTGTTGTGTAACTAGGGGGCTGACCCCTGGAGTCCTCCTCTCCTTCTCCTTTCATTCCCCAGTCTTTTCTTCCTAGATTTCTCCTATTTATTCTCTCTACCTGCCAGACCCACCTATTTCTCTCTCCTGCCTAAGTATTGGCTGTTAAGCTCTTTATTAGACCAATCATGTGTTTTAAGCAGACAAAGTAACTCAACTTCACAGAGTTAAGCAAATGCAACACATCTTTGCATCATTAAACAAATATTCCATAGCATAAACAAATTAACACATCTTCACCTAATATTCCACAACATGGATGTTAGTGCTAAGTCTCTTCTGATAACTGTGGATCTGAACAAATTGGATAACTGGCATGTCATAGTAGGTAATGGTGCATACTTTTTAGGGTGGATACAACAGTTCTACCCTGTCTCAAAAATAAATTGATCATTAGAACTGGGCAAGGTAGCTTAGCATGTAATCCTAGTACTGAAGAGATGGAGGCAGGGGACTAGAGAGATGGTTCAGTAGCTAAGAGCACGCCCTGCACTTGCAGAGGACCTGAGTTCATATCCCAGCACCTATATTGGGTGGTTCACAATTGTCAGTAACTCCAGGTCCAGGAGATCTGATGCATCTAGCCTCTGTAATCACTGCATCGCACACATACATATTAAAAATAAAGTATTTCAACAAAAGAGTCTGAGGTAGGAAGATCATTGGTTTGAGGGCAGTCTAAGCTACATAAGGAGTTTAAGATTAGCCTGGGCTACAATTATAGTGAGATCCTGTCACAATAAATAAGCAACACAATAAATAAACAAGCAAGGGCTGGAGATGTATTTCCATTGGTAAAGTAGTTTACCATGTGTGAGGCCCTAGGCTCAGAACCCAGCACTGCATCATATTAGGTATAGTGATACAAACCTACAAACCTAGCATTTGAAAGGCAGAGGCACTAGGATCAGGGTCATACTCAGCTGTATACCAAGTTTGAGGCCTGGCTGGGCTAACTGAAATCTGTCTCAAGGAAAGTTTATCAAAACAAAACCATTAAATATATTTTCTTTCATATAATTATGTATGTATTTGCTTTCCCCTCTATTTTCTGTACAGAAAATGAATATTCCTGCTAAATTGATTGTTTGTGGGATGACATCAAATGGTTTTACCATCGCAGACCCAGATGATAGAGGCATGTTGGATATGTGTGGTTTTGATACTTCGGCTCTGGATGTGATTCGAAATTTCACATTGGATGTCATTTAACCATAAGTACCAGAACGGCCTGAGGGGTCCACTGCTGCAGTGGACTTCACGAAAATCCACAGCTACTTCCCAGCTAAATGCAGTAGTAAAAAGCGTCGTCAGTGTGTGCATGATGGAAGCAGACTTTGCCAAGAGCAGGGAAAGAGGAAAGGAAGGAAAAGCATGTTGAGCCAAAGGTGCATGTACTCAGCTAGCTCTTGAGAAGTCTTCAGGATGCTGTAGCTTTCTCATAGAGAACTTCTTTTACTCGACACTGTAAAATAGAAGTGTTTTACTCCGGTGAATCACACATTTCTACTCAAAGCAGGTGAGATCTAAACGTGTAAGTAGCCTCACATGTCACTTGTTTAAGAAGTGCTTGTTTTCTTAAAGGTTTTCATCGGAACAAGGACAGTTTTTCATAATGTTCAAATCCTCTGAAGTGCACTAGACCATGTGACTGTGATGGAAATGAACCTCATGAGGTAAATTTTTATACCAAGGGGTTTTTTAAAAAACAAAAACAAAAAACTAAAGACACTTGGTAAAACTAAATTATGAATGAGTTTTACAAATTCAGAGTTTTCTAAGATCATATTAACAGCAGCTTTCTTAATCAATGAAAAATGTGTTTTATTTATACTTGTTAAAATCTACTACCATTTGGCCAAAACAACATGGGAAATCCCTAAGGGACTTGTTGAGTTTGAGTAGACTGAGGAATTTGCTTTGTATTCTTGTATTTACTGCCCCAAGTGAAGACATACTTAGTGATTCCCTCTGAGCAACAACAGTGTACATGTACTTAATGCTTTCCTGTTTTCATATTCATAATGAAAACAAAGTGTTTCGTATATTTAAGTCCCCCCTTTTATAATCCTGCTAGTATAACAATTAAAATCTCAACTGTAAAAACATAGTTTTTCCCATACCCCTAAAATACCTTTAACTATTTTTTATATTTTTCTAATAATTAAGTTTATCTGTGATCTTTTATATTTTTGCCCCCTATTCATCTTGTGTCTAATTTCTTCTTTAATAGAAATATAGAAAGTATAGAAGTAATAAAGCAAGCTAGATCCTTCAAGTTCAAAAGCAATTTTTAGAGTACCCAACTATCAACCATGTTTTGTACAAATTAAACTTCTTTTTCACCATACTAACATACATTTTTTTTCTTGAGCAGTCACATTATTTCGTTGGGAGGTTTAGCATGAAAATGGCCTATAGAAAGGCTAGTAGCTTTTCTCCTGATTTTATAATGGTATCTAAGGTAGTTTATACTAAAACTTTAATTTTTTATAGATTCCTTAAATATTAAAGGTTTACTGGGGGCTTATAAAGCCTTCTCTCTTTATATGAAAGGTCAGAAACTAGAAAGTATAGGTTGCATAACCTTATATGTGTTTCGGGGGTGAAGTTTTTACCTGGGGAGGAAAGGGTCTTTGCTATTGTGAAGATTTATATACATATTTTCTTCTCTTTCCTAAGAAAATAAGGCTGTGAGAATAAAAAAAAAAAAATGTTCCCTTCAGATAGGTTTCAAGTATTAATAAGGTTTGGTATGTAGCTATTCTTTCAGGAAAATAACAATTTGGTGTTATTAGCAAAGGTAGTGTCACCTCCCACTCCAAACACCATTGCTTCTGCTGCTATTCTGGCTTTAACCTCCATCACGTGGAATTTCACATCTTTACTTCTGATACACTAATATTTCATATTCAAATTTAATTTAAGGTTAAAAACCCTAAAAATTACATGAGAGCTATTTATTGACTTCATTAAACCCAGGATCTAAGTTTTAATATGATCTAACTAATTATGAAATGTTATGTGGAGTGTTATACAAATGTTTATTTCTTTTACTTCTGAGCTATTTAGATAGTACTTTTAAGCAAGCAGAATATATCTAGGAGAGAATATTTAATCCGTCAGGGAAATCAGATTAGAGGTGGCCCTTCAACAGTATTTAAGTAGGCCTAATTAAATAGGTTAAGATTGAGACAGAAACCAAGTGTGGTGGCACAAGCCTTATTTCCTTCTCAAATCACAAAGCTTCAGAGTGAAAAGAAACCTTAGATGATTTTTTTTTTTTTTTTTTTTGAGACAGGGACTCTCTGTGTAACAGCCTTGGCCGTCCTGAAACTCACTCTGTAGACCAGGCTGGCCTCAGACACAGAGATTCTCCTGCCTCTGCCTCCAAAATGCTGGGGTTAAAGGCATGGGCCACCATGCTTACCATAAGGCTAGATGGTTTTGGAGAGGGGTGGCCTAGAAGGCTTGGTCTCTCTAGTTACCATTCTCACTTTTCCTTTCTCATACATAGGAGCATGTTGATTTAGTAAGAAGTATGGTAGAATTATGCAAACTTTTACCTTATTTAGACATTAGGAATTGATGATATGCATGATTGCTTTAGGAAATTGTGAACAACTCTCAAACGCAATTTTGTCTTAATAGCCTATGTTGCTATGTAATATAGCCCCATAGAAAGGCTTTACCTCATTAAGCATAGGATATACTCAAGTGGTAAACAAGTTTTATTTTCCAAATTACCACTAGGGTTACTCTTAAGTAAATGGTATGGAAAATACAGCTTTTAAAAAACAATCTTAAGAAAAGTAAACTTTATTTCCTAGATACTATGTAAATATTTCCAGGATTTAGTTGTTATTAGTAAAACAAACGATAATCTTTTCATCTCACCTTTTTTTTTTTTTTACTAGTAGAAATTCCAGTTATTAACACTATTACTTAGTAACTGTTTTAAGAGTGTTAGGAAGAATATGCTAGTGGGTAAAACATACTTCACCCTTTGGAGGTTCTTCCTTTCTTTCATGTGCTGTGTCATTACAGATCAGTTTAACATATGTGGTAAAATTTTGCTCTCCTACAAATTAGCATATCTTAGTCTTAGATCATAGAAGAACCAGTAGCTTAATATTTATCTAAAATTGAAACAGAAAGGAGACCTTTCAATACAAGATGTCACTGTTCTCTGATTAGAGAAAGAAGAAATATACTCCAAGACAGAACAAGAGCAAAGCTCAGAATCAAAATGACACCATGCTGTTAATAACAAGCACTGGCTTATATTAACCTGTTTAGATAACAAGTCTACAACTGACAAAATACCATTCGGTAGGTTGTTTCTCACTTTTCTAGACTTTGCAAAAAAAAAAAATCATAGCAATGTAAATTTGAGAATATAATGATTTAAGAACCATCTTCAGGATGCAGAGGTCATGAGGGAGCAGAAAGGTTGAGTCAGGGGAAGAATAGAAGAAAGGGTATGTGATAGGTAGGGTTTTAGTTGGGGGGGTGGTAGGGGAGGAAGGAAGGAAGAAGGGAACTGGGATTGTCATGTAAATCAATCTTGTTTCTAATTCAAGTAAAAAAAACAATAAAAAAAAAAAGAATCATCTTCAGAAGCACAGTAAAGGTACATCTAAGCAGGAAATGAAGGCTGAATCATTGTAAGTTCTTGGAGTTATTTTCTTGTGACCTAAAGATATTGTCCCAGGGCCGGCAAGATGTCTTGGTAAAGACACTTGCCACCAAGCCTGACAAATTGCGCTCAGTTCCTGGACCCCCACATGGTAGGAGGAGAAGAACAATTCCTGCAAGTTGTCCTCTGATCACATGTATGCCATGGCATTTGTGTATGTGTATGTGTGTGTAAAAGTGGAGAAAATGAAAGATACTGCAACAGAATTGGTGACTGTGTGGTGGTGCTGAAAAATCTGGTCTTAAATTAGGTTGGTTTTGTTAAGGTACAAATTGTCCTCTTGGAGAAATGTCATATAGCCAGAAGGAAGGGTCAGAAAAGGTGATAGGTTCTTCAGTGAAATGAGCCAATATTAACTCTGAATTTACTGTGTTTTCCTGATACTTGTCCCCTAATCTCTTGTTTCTTGGAAAATTATTTCACGACCAGTTTTCTCCATTGTAAGTCATCTCACATTTTTGTCTTTTTTCCAGTTTGATCCAATTGGGTAATAAATTGCATGACCAGAAAGACATCCCCATTCAAGTTTGGAGTAAATCTCTTGCAGATTGTTTTTCATTTTATGTAAATGTAAGAGCATATTTTTCAGGGTTGGAGAGATAGCTCAGTGGTTAAGAGCGCTGGCTACTCTTCCAGAGGTCCTGAGTACAATTCCCAGCACCCACGTGGTGGCTCACAACTATCTGTGGTGGGATTTGATGCCGTCTTCTGCCATAAAGGCATACATGCAGATAGAGCAAAAAATAATAAAAAAATCTTTTTTTTTTTTTTAAGACATTTTTCAGGGTTAGAGAGATGGCTCAGTGGTTAAGAGCACTAACTATTCTTACAGAGGACCCAGGTTTAATTCCCAGCACCCACGTGGTGGCTCACAACTATCTGTGGTGGGATCTGATGCCGTCTTCTGCCATAAAGGCATACATGCAGATAGAGCAAAAAATAATAAATAAATCTTTTTTTTTTTTTTAAGACATTTTTCAGGGTTAGAGAGATGGCTCACTGGTTAAGAGCACTAACTATTCTTACAGAGGACCCAGGTTTAATTTCCAGCACCCACGTGGCTATTCACAATTGTCTGTAACTCCAGCTTTGGGGAATCTTATACCATTATTCAGACATACATAGAGGCAAAACACCAATGCACATGAAAAATAAAAATAAACACTACTAATAAAGTATCTTTCCAAATTACTAAAGTAATGCCTGGATTAATACATCCCTTCTCCAGATCAAGGGAGTTGATACCTTTAGAGGTATTCCAAAAATGTTATGGCCATTCAGTAAGATCAGTTACTCAGGATCTGTTTATAATTATTGATAAGCATTGAAAAGGGAAGTGTTATACTATATAAGCAATTTGATAATTGACAAAAATTTCAGAAAGTGACACCTACATCCTCTTAGTCCCATCATTATAGACTCCAAGTTTACAAAATCTCAACTGAGTGCCCATGCACACATACACATACACTGAGCTTATACTATGAAAAGCCTTACAATGACTTATATTGGCATTCAGTATCTCTCTAATTGGTAATTATTTGCATTCTTGAAAAAAAATCACTGTGAACTTTAAAGTTAACTCTAAAATATTTTTCATATAAAAAACTAGTAATATATCTAAGTGTACTGTCTGAGTAAAATTGTAACAAATGACACACTTTCCCTGAATCCTAAAAATAAGATATATTAGAAAAGTGGAAAGGAAGATGTGCAAGATTCTATTCCTGGATTGTGATTATTTCCAGTGAGCATTTGTAAATATAATGAAGATATCAAAAGCTATTTCTGATCCCAGAGATATTTTTGCCTTTCTGTTTTATTTATCCCTGCCCTTGTGAACACAAGTGAATTTTAATTTTAAAATGTTTGAAGTTCTGTACCTTCTATAAGTTAACAGAATCTAGATTTGAAAAAAGAGAAACTAAATTATCTTCATTTCTGCTAGTTTCACTTTACTGTATATGTGGATTATTTAAAGTAATGGGTTAACAGAAATGAGTGGATTACCATCCTGATTACCTGTAAGTGGTAAATTATATTAGTAAAAACCATTGGATTGAAACTTGTGTCTGAGTGACTGCTTAGGCTTTATTTGAAGTGTAAATTTGAATCCCATTATGACTGAATTAGATTTTAAACTAGATAATGAATGAATACTAATAAACAGTTCTTGTTGCACTGTTCTGAATACAGACTATATATTTGGTACTGTTGGCCAAATAGCTTTTGTAATTTATTTGAGTTATAATTTCATATTAGAAACTTAATAATGAAGAATTCTCCAAAGGAATAAGATGTATGCAGTTGTATTTAAAAAGAACTGCAGCAGGAGTGTTACAGTCTGTTTCTAAACTATCCATTTCCATCATTGGCTAATTGATGGATCTTTCAGGAATCCAGAATAATGTCTGCATGAAATAAATTACAGTTACATAAGAGCCTTAAACTGGACAAAAGGACTCTTTTGACTGCCTTAAAATGTGACTAGCTCTCCTTTCCAGACATGCTAGTTTCTTTAGGGTCTGTTATTTAAGTAATGCCTTACTAGTGTCCTAATGCTTCTAAAGAGTAGAACTTACAGGGTCTTCTAGAGCTTTTAATTTTACATAATGAATGGAAATTTAACTGTTAGGTATTAAACCTGTTTGTACATTAGTAATTTAAACATGAAAGGAATAATCCGCCTATGCTGATGTGTGATAAATACATGACTGCAACATTAGTATATTTGTGGTTAAGGTTTTTTTGGTTGTTTTGTATAACCAGTTATACAGAAGCAGGACTTCATGACCATAACATGACCTCGAAGGACCATGTTGCATATTTAACACTGAATGAAAAGTAGTTGTATAAAAGTACAGTTGTATAGTTCCAAACGAACTGCTTTTTAAGGGAAATTTTTGGGGCAAAAGACAAATATTTTGGTTCAAGCCTATGAGCAAACTCATTTAGAGGAATGAATATAATATTAAATCATTGACTCTTGCAATAAAAATATCAGTCCAGTGACTTGTTTCATTGAGTTCACATTTTGTGTTCACTTTGCCTTTAAAAGCAGGGATATCTTAATGAAACTGAAAGAGTGCTTTAAATTGCCATGCTGGTGCTTAAAGATATATTAAGCTTGATTTATAACTAGCTTATATTCCAAGGAAAGGAGCCTGGAGAGGGCAAACAGGCCTTTCTTAGGACTTGTGATTAACTGAAGCTGTCATGTCTTCCAAGTTTGCAATGTAAATAATGTGTAACAATGTAATGTTGCTGTTTTCTAATGAGGAATGGACAAATGCTTCTTTTTATTACATTTATTTCACGATAAAAGTTTTCACCAGTACTTGACTTTTCAAACCGAGCAAAATAACCTATTGCATACAAGTTGATTATCTCTTACATGAGATGCTTGGGGCCACAAGTATTTCAAGATTCTTTTTTCAAATATTGGAATTATTTGCATATGTATACTTTAATACCTGGGACATTCTGTGTGAACCTCATATATGTTATATGAAAACAAATTTGTCTTAATGAAATTGCATTTGACTGTGACTTGTCAATTGGTATGATATGGAACTCTCCATGTGGCATTATGTTAGCACTCTCAAGTTTTCGATTCTGAAGCTTTTTAAAACTTTGGATTTTCAGATTAAGGATGTTTAAATAAGTCATTTCAGGTGTGGAGTGAGTGGGCACTACATGAATTGTTTGTCACTGGTTTATTGTAGAATTTGATAGGTGTACCAAATAAATTTTATGCATATCAAATAACTTCTTTCACCTCTTAACATCTGTTGATAAGTAGAGTCCTGGTTTGCAAATTAATTCCTTTTGATGTAATGCTAGACCCCAAGATGTAATCTTTTTTTTTAAGTCATTGAGAATAAAATTCATTACACTTGTTAGGTAAGCACTGGAAGAGTGCATTTTTTTTTTAAAATAAAATTATAAATGATAAGACACCCTGTTATCTTTGTTGTTTTTGAGCCTTATATACCTTGTCTAAGAACAGTTATTTTAACATATGACCCTAACCAAGAGTTAAGTTCCACTCATGCTCTGTTTTCCACAAGCCTAGGAAGGATTAACTAAACCTTCTTAAGGATTAGTTGTGTAGTTCTGTGTTAAGACACCTGCCTCATGTTCAGGCCCTGGGTCAGAGTCAGATTACCACAAAAAAGTTCTTCAAAGCCAAGTACCATAGTATCACCTGGTCAGTATAGCTGTGCATTTAAGTAAACTGCCTCTGGCCCTAAATATGATTAATAGAAGCAACAATGACAATTGTTCCCTTTCTCATGCATAGCAGACTTCCTCTACTCTCTACCATGAGTTTTATACACAGCAAAAATATAAAATTTCTTATGATATAATGTAAAATAAAGGAATAAAAATATGCCATTTTCTTTTCCTATCAACATTAAAGCCTAAATGAACTCTCAGGGGAGAAAAGTCTACTTCTGACTTGTCAAGGTATCAAATGCTTGAGGTCCATGTAGGGAGCATTGCTGACAGCAAGCCACTTCTTCAAAACTTCTTGATGCCTTAGTCTGTCTCGACCAGAGAGTTGAAGCACTCACTCTGGAAGTCCATGTCATCCTACCTCTGAGAAAGACTCAGCATTTGATAATCTGTCCAACTTGACTGTGGGAATCTACTAGGAAATGCATTATTTCATAGGCACTTAAAATATTGTTGACCAGAGGCTAGAAACATGACCAGGTTAGTAAAGTATTAAAAATATCTTCAACTCTTTTAAAAATAAAACTTCTTAAAAGGTTAATTCTTGTTTGCTAAGTTGCTCTGAAATGAATTCAGTTTGAACAGTGTGTTCCTCATCAGACTATAGTAAGATAACATCAAAGTGACTTTAGGGGCTCTCTCCTCCATCTGTACTGCCAAAATAAAATGCCAGAGACTAAGTAATTTATGAAGAAGAGATTTACTGGTTATAGTTCATAGGTTGGGAAGCTTGAGGTTAAGGCACAAGCATCTAGTGAGGAGTTTCTTGCTACATTGTACACTGCAGAGGAAGGAAGAGCAAAAGTACAGGCATATGAGAGGTAATGGGGCCAAACATACTAAGAACCACCTTCTATGACAACTACCTAGATCTTTAATGTAGCACTACCTATACCATCCATAGTCCTTAAGGTTAAGATATCTTTATTCAGATAAACACCAGCCAAACGCAAGCCAGAGCGTGCCAGGGACAGCAAGGCAGGCAGGCCAGAGAGAAAGGGCTCCCATGTGCCTTGCAGCCCCTTAAAAACCTATCATCCTGACCTCACCTTGACCATGCCCTGACACCCACCTTGGTCAGGCACACCTGTGGCTAGCCCTAGGAGGCATGGTTACAGTGTCTCCCTATACTAACCCATCTGCCCTCATGATTAGCCACTTTTTAAAGGCCTCCTCTTACCATATCTTGCCATAGCATGTCTTTCCAACACATGAAGTCTGTGATGAGGAACATTCGAACCATAGCAAGGACCTTCAGTCTAAACTTAGAACACCTGGTTCCCTTAAACATTTCCAGGCTGAGCATGGTGGCTCAGCATTTAATCCAAGCTTGGGAAACAGGGAGGAGGACTGATGTGAGTTTAAGGCCAGCCTGCGCAACAGACCAACCCTGTCTCCAAAAATTAAAAAAAAAAAAAAAGTTCCACTAGCTGTTACAAATTCTGAAAGGAGTAACATTCTAACTGACACCATGACTAAATACCTTTCTCTTTTTTTTTTTTTTTTTTTTTTTTTTTTTTTTTTTTTTAAAAAAAGGTTTTTTTTTTTTGTTTTTTCAAGACAAGGTTTCTCTGTGTAGCTTTGGAGCCTATCCTGGCACTCGCTCTGGAGACCAGGTTGGCCTCAAACTCACAGAGACCTGCCTGCCTCTGCCTCCCGAGTGCTGGGATTAAAGGCATGCGCCACCAATGCCCGGCTTCTAAATACCTTTCTGAACTGTTCAAGAAGTTCATCCTTGAGATATTGAAACCTTTTGCCTTCTGCCAATAAACCTGTTTTCTTATCCCTGTAACTATAAAGTCATTAGCAGTTTGGTTTCCCAACTATAAACTTCATTCCATCCTACATACTTAATATGTTTCTGATGATCTAGAACTTAACACAAAAGGGTTATCATGACATAATATCCCAACTTACTGCATATCTACACCACATTAAACCTTAGAGAAATCACCATCAGTCCTCAGTCCAGAAATTTAGTGAATGTAAGTTAATTCCCTAATACTAAAGGGAGTAAGACTCTCAAGTACTTACTTCCTCTTCACTGTAAAATCCATGAATAAATCCCTGATAAACATTCTTTACTTGTGATGTAACTCCACCCCTTGAGTTTTACAGACCATCTCAAGCTCAAAAACTGGCAAGGAGGAAGACAGGTCTACGGCAATTTATTGTTCATTATTTTAAACGATTAGAAAGTGGGGTTGCAATAACTAACATTTTACTGGTCGAGGTGACTATCCACGTCATTCAACTTCTTTCCTCCTGCTTTTGTTTAAATTACATTGACGAACCAGTGGCAGCAATTTCCCTTCTTTGTGAAGCCTGTGAGTGTCAGTTGCACCTCCGATGAAGGTTCCATTGACAAATATTCTTGGAACCTGTTGAATGAGCAAAAGTTAAATGAGGCCTAATTGTAAGGGTCAGAACTAGTCCAACTTTGGAGAGAAATAAGGAAAAGTAACGTGACCAAAATTGCAATGGTAAAAGAGGTAGCGTTCAAATCCAAGATAATCTGATTCTAAAGCCCTTCCTCCTACACACCACACTAATATTAAAAGACAAAATGAGGCAGGCCCTATGAGGTTCAGCAGGGTCTGCCTGCCCTTCAGAGGCTTGTGTCAGAAAAGCTTTCCTTTTGTCTGCCTCTTTCCTTAGACCAGATCATAAGTACACTTTTTTTCTGATACTTTGGGCTTCCCTACTTTCTCTACAGCCTCCTTTCCCCACCATATGGCTGCTTGTCTCCCATGTGTCTGACCTCTGTGCTGAGTTAAACACCATGGCTTTGTTTCCTTTCCTCCACCATTCTCCTTCAGGCAACTACTGAGGTTTTCAGCACGCCTGACCCAGGAGTTTTTCTTTTAAACTGTAATAAAACTGTCCTTGAACAGAAGAGAGGAAGGGAGGGAAGGCGGGCTAGGTATATGTAGTTTCTACTTGTTTACCAGTGTATCCTACAAACCTTTAAAGAAGGAAAGTGGCAACAATGGATATTTTTCTGACTATTCATATTATGAAAAAATATACAAACTTCCAGAGGCTAGAACAATGAGCACTAAACAGGGCTGGGGACTGATCCTTGTCTGTACTGTCCAGGAGGGGAAGAATAATTTTACCTTGCAAAGACCTCCAAAAGGACCTTAAAATTCCACAGACAAGCACACATGACACCATTAGCTATTTCATCCATACCCCCCTCACACACACACACACACACACACACACACACACAGAGAGAGAGAGAGAGAGAGAGAGAGAGAGAGAGAGAGAGAGAGAAAGTAAACACAAAAAGTAAAATGAACTATGCTGTTTCCTATTCTATGAGCCTGGTTTCTTTAAGATCTGCCATTTCTTTATCAATGTGAGATCCACAGAAATGCCAGGTTTCCTTTTTCTACCAGGAAAGGCTAGTGTCCAAGGACTGGCATGTCACCAGCTCATCACCAGGGGCATCAGGGCTGAAGGTACACTCACAGTTCTTTCTCCAGTCATCTTGTGAAGAGCATCTTGAAACTGGCTACCATATTCCAGCATATCCAATTCTACAACTTTACAGTTGACATTCATGTCATGGAAGATCTTTTTAGCCATTGAACAGTAAGAACAGGATGTTTTTGAGAAAATCACCACACAATTGTTAGAAATTGTTTCCTAAAATTAAAAATAAATACAACATTCTCAGTATTACCTTTTGGAATGAAATCAAAATTAGGGGAAGGAGTGTAATGTTGGAGTGTAGAGCACAACTACAACTATTCTCTCCAAGTTCCTACCATCTGTCTGTGGTATCTACAGACTGAGGATGTAGTTCATTTCTAAAGCTGCCCATTAGAAACAAAAAAGTATCAAAGCAGTGCCCGAGAGTAGTATCAAGAACAAATAGCACTGATAGCCAATTCTTACACTGCAAACACTCCTGTATATTCTTGACATCATGGAGTCATTTCAACTTCACTGTAATCTTAACATGGGTCCATCCTATATTATTTAAACTTCACAGATGAAACTGAAGCACAGGGGGAGATAAGTAATTTACCTGCTGTCCTTGACTAGTAAGTAGATATGAGTCCAGGTAAATCCAGCCCTATAGTCCAGGTACTTAATCTCTACTGTACTTCTCAAATGTTTTAAGAGGTGTTCAGAAGGCATTACTCCATAACACTAATGACTTTCAGTTGCAAGGAAACTGTGTCATTGCTCCTGAAAATGCTATCATGGGATATGGATAAGAGCTAACTCCCCCCAACCCCTCACCACCCATCCCCCATTTTCATACAGTAAGAGCTATCAAGGTAAACTATACTTTACAGCTGATCCTAGAAAACCCACTTCCAGAAAAGCTTGTTTGGTGATTTGAAGCTGATGTCATAAGCAAGTTTTAAAATGACTCTGTGGTAGCAACCTGGTTGCAGTGTTCCCGGGGCCTTGACCACAATGCCCAGGCCTTGGCATATGTCGGCACAGCCTGGTAAGTTTTCTTATGTTCCTTGTTTCTAAATACTTGGATGTCCAAGTCCTTTAAATGAGTTGAGCAGACAACACTGGCATCCACATAGGTTTTCAATGGACAAGTCTGGCACCTGATCATCTGCCTCAGTGGTTCTTACATGGCACAGCATCATCAGTGACTTCAAGATGAAGACAGACAAAAGTGCTTCAGAACCTCTACTCACCCTAAGGGGTCAAAGGGACCTGGGTCACCCTGGATGTGGGCACACTGATCTAGTGTATGTTTTCTCCTGCTTACTAAATATTTAAAATTCTATCAGAGGGAGACCAACCATACAAGATAGTATGCTACATTCATGAATCAGTCTTACAGATAACAAAACTAAGGTTGAGAGTTTCATTGTACCTTCCTCAAATTCCACATCCCACCCAAAGCTAGTAATCTTCCACCATGCAATTTAGGCTAGAGGCATGCTGCGAGTCTTGTTTAGCTTAAGAAATGAGCACACTGAGTTCTCCTATGGCACCAAAGCACTAATGAAGAGATTCCACAGCGACTGGACCTCAAGATGATGGTGCCTGGGGTTTCTCAAACACTCTTCACTTTCTCTCAAGCGCATCCTTACTAAATGTTTCATGGTGCTGTCTTTGTATTTTAAAATAGAGAAAGCCCCACATAAGACATTTCTCAAATTGGTTCCATATTCAGAAGATACTGAGGTCAGCTAAAACAAACTCAGATTCCCTATGTGTGTTGCTGGGGAGCAATGCCTAGGACATCACATATGCTACCACTGAGTCCAAAGCAGTAACAAAATATATACAGAAGATAGTGAGGAGGACAAAGGCCTCATGGGCTGGAAAAGAAGAAATATATATATATATTTATATTTATATTATTCCATATTTATATATGGAATTCTGGGGGGTTGTTTTTGTTTTCATTTTTGTTTAGAAAGAGGGATCTCAGATGTATCATCCAGAGGAGCCTTGAATTTTCTCTCACAAGTGCTAGGATAACAGTCAAATGATGCCACAGCCAGCTTAACACAAATTTTCTGAGGCAGAATTAATTAAGATAGGCAGTGAAAGAAAGAAGGGAACAAGAGAATACAGCCATGTTGAGTATCCCTAAGAGAATAATTGATGGAGTAATTATTACACAGTAGGTTCTGTGTTAGAGTAAAAAGCTGTTTGTTAAACGGCTGCCTATGCCAAAACCACATAATAACCCTGGCTCTGAACCTCGGACTCTTAGGTATCACAAGTGGAATTAGAGCAGGAATAATTAAAAATTTAAAAAATAAAAACCTCAACCTCAAAGAATAAAGAATAAATCAATAAATTTCAGAAAAAGGAAGAAGGCAAGAGCACAGTTTTGCAAAGTTGCTTACTGTGGTGTGAAGTTGCTTCTGGAATAGGATGGTTTGACCATTACCAGTAGCTCAGAACACAAAATAGGACTTGGAAACTTTATTGTGAGGAACTTGCATTTGATGTATGTGGTCATCTACTCCCCCTCCTCAGTAATGGAAAGAACACCTTTGAAGCAGGGCAATAGCGCCTTTCAGGAGTGCATTTAAACAGAAGGTCTTAGTCTGTATGGGGAAGGCGTGTGCTACTGTTGCTGATACTGCTTCCTTACTTTGAGGCAGGGCACATCGCTCCAGTTAGCAAGGCTCTGAGGAGACACAACACAGGCTTCCTGACGACAGGCACTGCCTTCCACCAGGCTGGGCTAAGTTGCCAAAAATGACCATCAGGGATCCAGTAAGAAATCTTAGTCACTTAAGTAAATTTTATATTGCCTTTTTCATTTTAGAGATGTATTTGTCATAAAGGTTTAGAAACAATTTTTTTTTTCTTTTAGCTTAGTAGTTGTTCATCATTAGCTCTGAACACTTGATTAAGATAAATTTATGGGGCCGGACGTTAGTGGTGAACGCCTTTAATCCCAGCACTTGGGAGGCAGAGGCAGGAAGATCTCTGTGAGTTCGAGGCCAGCTTAGTCTCCAGAGCGAGTGCCAGGATAGGCTCCAAAGCTACACAGAGAAACCTTGTCTCGAAAAACCAAAAAAAAAAGAGGTTGTTTCATCAAGGCCTCATAGAACAGACCTGTCATCCCAGCTAGCTACACAGAAGTTGAGGCAACACTACAAGTTCAAGAGTAGCCTGAGTTGGAGCAGTTTACAGTTAGCCTAAGCAATTCAGGGAGACCTTCCCTCAAAAGAAAAAGTGAAAGATGAGCAGAAAGGCAGCTTGGTAGTAGAAATTTTTCTACCAGTTCAGGACAACCTAGATACAATCTCCAGGACTGTTAAAACAAAAAGTCAGGGGAAAGGCCTAGAGAGATGGCTCTGTAGGTAAGAGTGCTTCCTGCACAAGCATGAGGACCTGAGTTCACATCCCAGCATCCAGGTAAAAAGCTATCTGTGGTCACACACATACTGTAACCCCAGCACTGGGAGGTGAGGGGGAGAGGGAGGGCAGAGACAGAATTGTTGGGGCTCAATGATCACCAGCCTAACTCCAAGCTCAATGAAAGTGACTATCTCAAAGGAACAAGATGAATAACGACAGAACAGGACACTAGACTTCCCTCCTCTGGCCTCCACATGTATATAGGCATATGTTAGTGCAAACATATAAACCACACTCTCACACAAAAAAGAAACAATAAATAATAAGGCAGAAACTGTAACAAGAACAACAAAAATGACATAGGGCTTGTCTCAAGGATAATTTTGATAGGAATTTTTAAAATAAATATTAATTTAGTAATTTATTTTCTAAACTATGTCAAGTCTGAACTAGAGTAAATATATTAAATGTGTAAGACAGTCCTTCCTCCATTGCCCCCATCACTCACTTGGATCTGTTTCACAGGAGTAGCTGTTGACTTCCCCACAGATGAGGATGTGTTGTTTCCCATCCTAAAACAAAGGAAAAGACCAGCCAGTTAATGAGGTAACCCTGTATCACATGGGTTCCAGTGGAAGACAACCTTAAATACAAATACGTCCAAATACACGAAGCAGGAAAAGCTTTATCAGGACATAAAGTGCTTGTCTGCTAATGCCAACAGGACCCACGTGCTTACCTAAGTAGACTTTCAATAAATTTTGCCTGATAAAGCCAATGTCTAAAGTTCCTTGCAGTATAATTCCTAACTGAACTCATAATCACCAAATACCAGATACTCTACCCTAATGAAGGCCTGACCATGGACAATAAATAAAATGCATTTTGCATTTCTTCTGAAAGCATACAATTTGGAGGGGTGGGCGAAGACCTGGAGAGACGAGTCGGCAGTTAAGAGCACTTGTTGCTCTTGCAGAAGATCCAGGTTCCCTTGCCAGAACCCATATCAACCCAGCTCATAACCAACCACCTGTAAATCTAGCTTTAGATCTGATGCCCTCTTCTGGTCTCTTAATGCATGCACACATGTGGCATATTCTCACACAAACCCACATACATATAAATAAAGTAATAATTTTTTTTAAGTATACAAAAACTTCATGGACACTGTGAAGCAAAGAACCTACCAAGACTTGGGGGATAATGGTTTTCAACCACATGAAACATATAGTTCTCAATTCGCCAAGTAGGAAAAATAATCATACCCACTTAAAAGGGGGTTGTGAAGATTAAATGAGCTGGCTTACACAGAAAGCAAAACTGTATCTTACAGTAAATGCCAATAATACTTGATATTATTATTAGCTACTGATTATGAGGACTCTCATTACCTCAGCGTTTGTTATTCAAAACCTAGAGCTTAGAAAAAGAAGTATTTGAGTGAGCTGTGGTGGTATACACCTTTGATCCCAGCAATTGGTGGAGCTCTCTGCCTGGCTTACACCGTGAATTCCAGAACAGCCAGGACTATATAATGAGACCCTGTCTCAGATAGATAGACAGACAGACAGATAGATACAGACAGATGATAGACAGACAGGTAGACAGACAGACAGATAAATGATAGACAGGTAGATAGACAGATGGATGATAGGTAGGTAGATAGATATATAGATATAGGTAGGTAAGTAGGTAGGTAGGTAGGTAGGTAGGTAGGTGATCATTAAGTCTTTCCATTGGATCTAGAATCTTTTTCCCTCATTTTGCTCATTTTTCTTGATCAGCAAGCAAGGCCTGACAAGATTGTTGAAGCAAATTAGACATGATGTGAACTACTAATCTCTCAAAAATATCAGGAAGGCGGATGCTACGAAGGAGAACTGCTCAAATATGTAAGGATTAAGGGTAGGCTGAAGAATTCAAAAGTTCAAATGGTTTTTAATATCATTTGTGTTTGTTTGTTTTTTAAGACAGGGTTTCTCTGTGCAGCCCTGGCTGTCCTGGAACTCACTTTGTAGACCAGGCTGGCCTCGAACCCAAAGATCCACCAACCTCTGCCTCCACACATGGCTACAAATGTTTTTATTTTAAATATATTTTTGTTGTGGGATTTTTTGTTTGTTTTTGTTTTTTTGAGATAGGGTGTCTCTATGTAGACCAGGCTGACTTGGAACTCAAGAGATCCGCCTGTCTCTGCCACCATGCCCAGTTTAAAAAAAAAAATAAAGAAAAATAAAATCTCGCCTTGAGTTGGTGGGCTCACGCCTTTAATATCAGCACTCAGGAGGCAGAGGCAGACAGACCTCTGTGAGTTCGAGGCCAGCCTGGTCTACAGAGCCAGTTCCTGGACAACTCCAAAGCAATACAGAGAAACCCTGTCTCAAAAAAAAAAAAAAAAAAAAAAAAAAAGAAAAGAAAAAAAAGAAAGAAAGAGAAAAGAAAAAATCTCCTATGATGTTCCAGTCTGTTTTTTGAGTGAATTCCCATTAAATGGCCATTTCCAGTGTGTATTGCCCCTGGATGATGAGTTTCTGCTCTTCATGGTCATTCTGGAAAACTTCAGATAAGCCACAGCAAGCATCACATCTCATTGCAACAAAGATGACTTACAGACAGGAATCACTGCAACTAAATGTGCGTTTATCATTATTGTTCCTTGTTCCCCAAAAGATTAACAAGGAAACCACTGAAACAAAAGAACTTGTGTGCATATACCAGATACAGAGAAGGTAGGAGCAAGGGGGGAGGCTCGGAAGACTGTGCCCTACTTTGGAGGAGGCAGCTTTGAGAAACAAAACAAAACAAAAATCCGCTAGCTGAGTTTGTGAAGTCCAAAGCAGTAGGGAAAATAGATAGCCTTGGCCTGGAGGAGCGCTGGATGGCATCAATCCAGTCTATATGGATTGATGTTTTTACAAGTTTTTTTCCCCCCTCTCTAATCTAGCATTTATGTCCTCCTCAAACCTATGCAGAATTTACAGCGGATGAACTTTTTTTCTAAGAAAATGAGAGGGCCAAGGAGGCACATTCTAAAACAATGACCCCCTTCGCTGCCAAAGAAAAAGTTCCAAAAGGACACCCCTATCTTTCTTGAGGCAGCTCCATCAATTTCTAGTTGAGCTTTCCTATTTTTTCTTTAAATTAGAAACAATCTTATTTTACATATCAATCCCAGTTCCCTCTCCCTCCCATCCTCCCATGCCCCCCACTAACCCAACATTCCAACCCCCTTCTGCTCCCCAGGGAGGGTGAGGCCTTCCATAGGGGATCATCAAAGTTTGTCACATCATTTGGGGCAGCGCCTAGGCCCTACTAGTAAATGAACGAACAAGACTTCACATCCACCTTGGTAAAGCGCCACTAACTACTCATACTCCATTTAAGGATCACCTACTAAGAGGTGGTAAATGGACAAAGCGGGATATACCCCGCCAATGGGAAACAGTTCTAAGGACCCATCAACGACTTAATGTCACGTGATTGGCGCTTTCAGAAGGGAAGTCTCTGGAAGACAGAGGAGAAATAGATGTGCTAGTGGATGTCTTGACTGCCGCCTAGGCCACAGCTGTTGTGTCAGCCCAGAGTATGTCAAGTGGGGAAGTCAACGCACAACACTCTCATCAAGCCAGAAACCACATCTACAGGATGCCTGAGTTATACTAGCTGCAAAGCCATGGCCATTTAGAAGCAACAATCATGCTCACTTCCTGCGACAGGACAGCCAAGGCTTAGCATTAAAATAAGAGCGACTGGCTTAATAAGTTCCCACAGCAGGGGATACGTTTTTTTTTCAGCGTCACCCAGGTCTACACTGCGCTAAAA